TCATGTTATTCTGACTGTGGCCTTCAGGAGCTCTTTCAGGTTGATTTCCGCATCCTTTTTGACATTTTTAAATAATGTTTTTGAACTTTATATTCTTTTTGAATTTTTTTTTTTTCCTTCAGCACCTCCTTACTTTCTGCCTCATGGGATATTTCAGGATCATCTTGTGTTTTCCCTGCCCCAGCCCTGGGATCAACTGCTTCTCCAAGAACCCTTGGTTCCTTTTATCAAAGAATGGTATTTAGAAGCCAAATTTGGGACCTAGCTGTGCTCACTGTCAAGGGGTGGTACTTCCCAGCTCTCTCAGCAGACAGCAAGGAACTGTGTATGTATACTAACATAAGCATACCTATGTCCATTATTTTTTCTGTACCTTTCTGTTTGTGTCTTAGTTGGTGAGGCATGCCATAACAAAATACCACAGACTAGGTGGCTTAAGCCACAGAGATTTCTTTCTCACAGTTCTGGAGGCTGGAAGTCCAAAATCAAGGTGTTGGCTGGATTGTTTTCTCCTTGGGTCTCTCTCTCTATGGTTTGTGGGTGGCTGTTTCCTTGCTGTGCCCTCACATGGCCTTTCCTCTGTGCCTTACATTCCTAGTGTTTCTTCCTCTTCTTGTGAGGACACTAGTCCTATTAGATTATGGACCCACTCCAAAGACCTAATTTAACTGTAATTACAGAGTCTAACTCCAAACACAGTCTCATGAGGATTAGAGCCTCAACATGTGAATGGGGATGTCAATCTGTATGTATAGATTCAAAATGAGTTAATGCCGATACCTCCAATGCCAATCTAGTGCTACAGGGTTTATTCTAAAATTTCCTGTTTTTCTTATTTACAATTTATTTCCTCAACAGTAAGAAATATGGCATTATCTATAATATATTTACTTATTTGTTCAAGCTTAGCATACCTTTAAAGTAATTTCAAAATTGCTAATACATACCCTTGGGAGAGACAAATTTACCCCACTGTAGTGCATTGTCTATGCATGGTTCTTCTGGTCTTTAGACTTACAGTATCGGATCAATGCACTGTTTTCCAATGTTATTTATACCATCTCCTTTTTTCCTCATATCTTCCTCATTTGTTTGTAATACAGTTTGTCTCAGTTTTCATAGCATTCATTCCACATCAGGTTTTCTTGAAATCAAAATTGATTTTTAAAATTTATATACAGTAACATTTGTACTTTGTGGTGTACAGTTGTACAGGTTTTGGCAAATGCAGAGCATCACCATAGTATCATACAGTAGTTCTATCAACCCCCAAGTTTTCTTGCACTCTCCCTTATTCTATCCCTAGACCCAGGCAAATACTGATTTGTTTTCTGTCCTCCTAGTTTTGCCTATTTTACAATGTCATATAAATGGACTCATACAATATGTAGGCTTTAAGGTCTAACTTCTTTCACTTAGCAAAATACACTAAAGATCCACTCTTATTGTGTGAATTAGTGAGATTCCTTTTTATTGCTGAGCAGTATTCCCTTATTTAGATATGCCACATTTTGTTTATTCATTCACCTGTTGAAGGTCATCTAGGCTCCTTCCAATTTTGAGTGAACATGAGTAAAGATGTAAATTTTTGCTTACAGGTTTTTGGTTGTATGTGAGCTTTCAATTTGCTAGGGCTAAATAATTAGGAGTAAGGTGCTAAACTTTGCAGCAAGTAAATATTTAATCTTAAGGGAAATTGCCAAACTGATTTTAGAAGTGGCTGTAATATTTTGCACTTTTGTTTAAGTGTTAATTTTAGATCTTAAAATTCACCAGTACTTGATTTTAGTTTGTATTTCCCTAAATGATTAATGATGCAGAACAAATGTGTACTTACCATACATGTATCCTCTCTGGTGCTTATTCAGATCTTTCATCCAGTATTTATTTTATTTTCACATTTTTGAATTTTGAGAGTTTTAAAAAATATTTTGTGGAAACAAATCCTTTATTAGATTTATGCTTGCAAGTATTTTCTACCTGGGTCTTATTTTCTATATTCATTATTTCTTTTTTTCTTTTCTGCTGGTAATTTAACCCAAGAGCCAGTGGACTACATCTCCAGCCCTTTTTATCTTTTTATTTTGATACAGGGTCTCACTAAGTTGCTTAGGGCCTCACTAATTTGATGAGACTGGCCTTGAACTTGAACTTGCAAACCTCTTGTCTCATTCTTCTGGGCCACTGGAATTACAGGCATGAGACACCATTTCTGGCTGTTTTTTGATTCTTTTAACAGTGTCTTTCTCAGAGTAAGAGTTTACATTTTTGACAAAGAGCAATTATTTATGTGTTTTTCTTAATTTTGTGAATTTTGCTTTTGTATATTTTGAAATGCTTTGCCATCCTCAAGGAAATGCAGGCATTCTTCTATGTTTTCTTCTAGAAGTTTAATAGTTTTAAGTTTTATGGGCTGGGGTTGTGGCTCAGTGGTAGAGTGTTTGCCTCACATGTGTGAGGCACTGGGTTCAATTCTCAGCACCACATATAAATAAATGAATAAAATAAAGGTCCATCAACAACTGAAAAAATTCAAAAAAAATTATAGTTAAGCCTGTTAATTATTTTAAATTCATTTTTATATGAGGTGTTGAGGTATGTATAGTGGTTCATTATTTAATTACTCAATTAATTTTGCAGATATCCAAGTGTTCTAGCAATATTTGTTGAAGAGACTATCTTTATTTTTTCATGGTAAAATTTTTTATTTGTTCTTTTTAGATATACATGACAGTAGAGTGTATTTTGACATATTATATATTAATGGGGTATAACCTACCATTCTTGTGGTTGTACATGATGTGGAGTTTCACTGGTCATATGTGATCATAGGAAAGTTATGTCCAGTTCATTCTACTGTCTTTGTTATCTTCACCCTCTCTTCCCTTCATTCCCCTTTGTCTAATCCACTGAATTTCTCTTCTTACCTCCCCCTCCTCACTTATTGTGTGTTAGCATCCGATTATCAGAGAAAATATTTGGCCTTTGCTTTTTGGGGATTGGCTTATTTTACTTAGCATGATAGTCTCCAGTTCCATCCATTCACAGGCAAATGCCATAATTTCATTTGAAGAGACCATCTTTTCTCCATTGTATTGCTTTTATGCTTTTTGTCAAAAATCAGTAGACCTTATTTGTGTGGGTCCACTGTGCCTTATTTATTTATTCTTCTCTTATTTATTCATCTGAATGTTCATTCTTTTGCCAATACACAATGTCTTAATTATAGTGATTCTAAAGTAAGTCTCAAAAACCATAGTGTGAATGGGAAATGTGAGTCCTTGTTTTTTTTTTTTTTCAAAGAGAGAGAGAGAGAGAGAATTTTAATATTTATTTTTTAGTTTTTGGCGGACACAACATCGTTGTCTGTATGTGGTGCTGAGGATCGAACCCAGGCCGCACGCATGCCAGGCAAGCGCGCTACCGCTTGAGCCACATCCCCAGCCCGAGTCCTTTGACTTTATTCTTTTGCAAAAAATTCTTTTAGCTATTCTACCACTATTCTATTCTTCATCTGTACTCTGTAAAATTTAGAATCATCGGATGAGATCTTTAATAGCCTCTGGGTTTGTGATTGAGTTGTGTTGAGCCTATGAATAAAATTGAGTAGAAATGATATCTCAACAATATTTAGAAATATAAAAATTGGGGCTGTGGTTGTGACTCAGTGGTAGGGCGCTTGCCTAGCATGCGTGAGGCACTGGGTTCGATCCTCAGCACCACATACAAATAAAATGAAGATACTGTGTCCACCTAAAACTAAAATAAATAAATATTAAAAAAAAAAGAAATATAAAAATTGGAGTGCATCTTTTAAAGTAGTTATAATACAACATTGCCAAAAGCTGGACTGCAAATATCAATATTTGGTGTTACATCAATGATTCAGTACTGAGATAAAGATAGGAATATAAATCTCCTGTGAATTATTAAGGGACTAATTGTGACATGTCTCCAAAGTGAGACCTGAGCAATCATGCATTATGGTATAGACAGACTTATTTTTGCCTATATTTTGATTATTTTTGTTACTAAAAAGTATCTCTCTCCTTTATTTTTTCCACTAGGAAACTCCCTGAGAAAGATAAATCTTTAGAAATTTGAACATATATTGCCAGGCATAGTGGCACACACCTGTAATCCTCAGCTCAGGAAGCTGAGGTAGGAGATCCCAAGTTCAAAGCCAGCCTTAGCAATCTAGCGAGACCCTGTCTCAAAATTAAAAATAAAAAGGGCTGGGGATGTGATTCAGTGATTAAGTGCCTTTGGATTCAATCCTTGGTACTACCTACCCAATTTTGAACATATATTAAGTTCTAAAAAATATGAAACTTTAGTAATTGCTGTTAAACTAACATTACCAGCAGTACAGCGAGGCAATGTCATATGGTGGTTAAGATTCTAGCCTTGAGTTAAACGATTCTCAGTGTGTGTACTAGCTCTGCTACATACTGGTTATATGACTACTTATTTAACATTCTCAAGCATCAGTTTCCCATCATTAAACTAGAAATAGATAACAGCAGCTATCTCCAAGGGCTCTAGTAAAGATAAAGTTACATTATGTGTTAAAACAGTACAATGTCAGGTTTAATTTTTAATAATATTAACTTTATTAATAAGTGGACTTTAATAATAAGTGTTTGAAATATATGTATTTTACTTAATTGATGAATGTGGTTACATCAAACTCTAAAATATCCAGCAGTTCCAGTTGCCAAAATATCCCCATTCAAAAATGTAATAACATCATTGGAAAAAGTCTAATAAAACAATTGCTGAATTACTTGCATTTTAATCAACACACATATAAAGGATGTGTTCTAAAATTGCCATTTACCAGAAAAACCAAAGGTGTACTTGATTGATTGCTGACTCACTTTAAACAGAACTAGGCAGCATGATAAGCTAAGAGTGCTCATGAACTATTTATTAATGCAAGAAAGCTTTCAGTTATGGGAACACATGTGTTCATACACACACACACACACACACACACACACACACACACTGTGAGGAGTTAAAAAGGCCTTAGGAATTCATCTAGTCCAGCTCTAAACAATCTTGCTTAGTTACTTAAAATACACTTTTTCACTTTCATAATTTTTGCATGACTGGAAGAATTGCCTCTATTGACCCCCAAATCTTTATCATTCTGGTATATCAGTGACATCTGTATAGCATCCATATGCATACAGCTGCTGGCACAAGTTGTCTCTACTACCAAGTGCATTTGACCCTATATTTTTACTTTCAGATCCATAATATGTCAGATGGATGAAAACTGAGGATAAAAGTGAAGAATTTTGAGTTTTTACATGGAAGGAGCAAGGAGGGGAATATACATCCTGATTCTCAGACCAGAGTTTGCATGTGACTCGACCCTACCAGATCAGTTTTGCAGGAAACTCAGGGCAGTTCCTTGAAGATGTCAGTGCAGCAGCAGCTGGCAGAGATGCAGTCCCAGGCTGAGAAGCAGTTCAGGGAATTTGATGGGCCACCTGAGCCCTAGAGGATTTGCACAGGTGCAAACAGAGCTGGGGGCTTTTGGATCTGGAAGAGTTAGAAACACCCTGGGCTCTCCATGGTTGGTAAGTTCGAGTCTGTCTTCTCCGATTCCATTTCCTGCCTCTAACTGCCACAGCTTGATCGTTGAGACTTAGCCACCCGTGACTGTTGAGGGAAATAGAGGGAAAATTGAGCCGCAACATTCATCTCCTCTCTTCGCACAAGGGCAGGGCCGGAGATAACTGAGCCCCCACCAGAGCCCGTCACTCACTGTCACCCTCTGTTTCAAAAACTTGCTTCTGGGACCCAGGAACAGGATTCTGCAAACCTTGCAAGGGGAGCTCTTTCTGTCCTTTTTTTTTTTCTTTGAGTTTAGGGTTGGGGAACTTTGGGTTTCAGGTTGGAGAAAGAGAAAAGTAATGCACGATAAAGAGACAATACTTTAAGACAACTTAGGTTCTAGGGTGAGAGTAAAGGAGTGAATATTGAGAAAGAGAGATGAAAGATAATGGAAGTTGTGTCTTTGCCCCATGAGGTGTGGGAATCAGGGAGTTGTCATCTCTAGACATTCACCTCTGTTTCTTGATCACTGAGAACTTATGCAAGTCATTTGCTCCCCACCTGGCCTCAGTTTTTCTGGTCTTTTAAATAGGCATGTGATCTGCTGTGGGAAGTAGTGAGAGAGCCATGGATGGCAAAGATCCTAAATAGCACATCACAAAGCCATGTGCAGAGAACCATGCCTTAAAACTTGATTTTAAAAGTTCACTGATGGCTAAAAATACCCTGTTGACACAGGCCTGTCTGCACCCTCTGATTTTTCATTTTACGTGCAAAAATTTATGTTTTTCCATTTTCGTTGGCTAGGGTTCTGTTATTTGAAGGTAAGGTGTGGGAAGTCCTTCAGAGGTTCAATGGGAGACAGGGAATCGGATATAGTTTTTCTCTCTGGAAAGAACTTTCATCAAGATTAAAAAAAAAAAAATGTTTAGGCTCCGCTTGCTACTGTAACCTCTAGTCCCTTGCCAAATGGCAACACAACAAAGACAGCCTCCTTTTCAAGTTTCTGGTTAATAAAACAACACAATGCAAGACAAATAAACAGAAACAGAAGGCTTGAGTTTGCATAACTTATGTGCACATGTGTGGAGCAAGGAGGAGCTGCTCTGCTTGGACAAGCTTATGTCAATGGACATCTTTCATTGACCATCCTACCTAAGACATGTCTCTGGGACCTTAAATCCAAGACCCATAGTGGAGGTCTGCATACAACTGAAACAGTGGACCAGGAAAAATCTCACAAACACATGGTCTCTCTTATCCCCCTGTCCCTCACCTTTGGAATCTGTGTTCATAGATATTGGAGTTGATGGCTGAATTTTTAGAGGCTATGGCTACAGACATACTGGTTAAATTGCTAGCTCAGAATAAAGAGTGGATATGACTGGAGGGGTGTTGGTGGCATGGCGTTTGGGAGAGTTAGGATATAATGTAAGGACTAGACAACTTTATTTTAACAATAAGGTCAGATATCTTGGGTGTTAGTCACCTTTGTGACCAAAATGCCTGATGAGAACAATTTAGAGGAGGGAAACTTTATTTTGGCTCACAGTTCCAGAGGTTTAGTTCATGGTCAGCCAAGTCCATTGCTGTGGGCCCAAGATGAGGCAGAATATCATAGTGGAAGGGCTTGATGGAGGAGCTCTTCTCCATTCATGGCAGCTGGAATACAGAGAGAGGGAAAGGGGAGGGGCTGAAGGGAAGATGTATCCTTCCAGAATATGCTGTCAGTGATCACCTTCTCCAGCCACATTCCACCTACCTATAGTAACCACCCAGTCAGTCCACTCAAACTAGGATGGAGTAATTAGGGTACGGTTCTCCAATCATTTTACATTTACAATCCAATAATTTTACCTCTGAATATTCCTATATTAACATAGGAATTTTGGGGGGACAGCTTATATCCAAAAAATACCATTGGGCTTCTGTTCTTCCACTTTGTGATATTTGTTCTTAGGACTCACCTGTGTGTGGGGTTACAACTTGAGGTCCTTGCTAGAATGGAGGAAGAAAGGAGGGTGCAAAGTTGCTTGACTGCATACAGCACCACAGTTCCAGCGTCGTGAAGGGACCTGGGGAGTCATGGGGTTCCTGTAGCTGCCCTGTCCCACACTTTGTTGTGGGCTCCTGGAGGGTAGTTGAGCACAATCAGGAGGGCAGTGCAATAGCAAAATCCCACTCCTTCATCACATACTTCTCTGTCCTTCTCTTTTGTTCTTTGACTGGAAGAATGCATTTGTGCCTCTGGTTTCACGGGATTCCCTCTCTCCACCTTCTCCCAGGACACTCAGAGAAGTGGCTTTCATCACAGGAGTGAGGGTGAGTTCCAAGCCCATGAGGAAAACATTTCCTAGTAGTCACTTCTCTTAGGCATGGAAGGAAAGATTTTCTCAGCTCTTCATCTCTGTTCTCAGGGGACATCTTCAGGCCATTATGAGGTAGTATCTGTGGATCAGCTGCAGCTAAATCCTGAAAACAAAGAGTAAATCCAACACTTGAAGAACTGCTAAAGATTTATGATGATTCAGAAGAGAAACTGTTCATAAAAAGAGGATGAGCCAACTTCCCTGCAACGCGTTTAATAACAAACCAAGGGCGCAGAGCTGCTTTCTGTAGCATGGAGCAAATTAAATGGCAGAAACCACTGTGAAGCCCTGTGAAGCCCTTGGTGGGATGTTTGAGCATTTGGAATTCAACTGTGTGCAAATTTCATCTTTTTGAGGATTTTGTACATTTCATGTCTTTTAGTCAGAACTCTTCCTTCTCCTGTTTTTGATCAATTTATCCAGGGTCTCTTCTAGGGTACATGGTTCCCTTAATTTTCTCAGAACTTCCCTTAAATCTTACTCATTTTCTTATGAAGGCTCTACCAGACTCATTTACAACTTATTTTTATTTTATTTATGTTAACTTAATTTTTTTGGATGATTGCGCCAAAGAATATAGAAGCTGGAGAATATCCTCAATAAGAAACTTTGAAGTCAAATATATTATGGGGTTGATGGCTGTCTATTGACAGGGCTTCCATTCCCTTTTCTTTCCTTTCTGAGACCACCTTGGCCTGGTGTGTACCTCTTCTCCATACCACCTGTTCTCTGGCACTGTTGAATCATGCTTCATTCCTGGGGTGGGCTAGGGTTTGGCTTCCTATATCAGAGTAAGCCCACCCTTCCAGGAAACATTTGGCTCTGAGGTGGTCATGTGACTTTACTTTGTGGCAAAGATTGCAAACCTTCTTTCTCATTATTTTTTCTTGTTTTTATTAATTTTATCTCTTTGTTTTGCAGTTTTAACCATTTCTCCATCTATGCTTTGACAAATAATATACACCATAAGCTTCAATTTTAAGAAGAATGGTAAGTGATCATTCTCTCTCTCTCTCTGGCTCAGTTTCTGCTGGTGGATATCTTATCATCCACCCAGAGAACACAGTTGATGCCCAGAGGAAGGCAGATTGAAAGAACCTCAGTGAAATTCAGCCAGAGACCCGATTGCTTGCTCTTCATAGCTGCCTGACCTCTGGATGTCCGGTTCTATGAGCAAATCAAATTCTTCATTGTTTAAGTTATTTGAGTGCTGAAATCATCTTAATTGATTGAGGGTTTAGATTGTCAGCATGGTATAAAGTGGGTCTGGTGAAAGAGAATTCACATGGGGACCTCAGGCCTGGGCTGGGGTCTCAGGCTACCAGATACTAAGTATGTGTCTGCTCCACCTCTGGAGTTTAATTCCCAATAAAGGGCTGTGATGATCATCGTGTGTCACAAAGCTGGGTAAGGATCAGATACATTAAAGCTACAAAACATGTGGCATAGCATGTTGTTATTATCATCCCTTGTTAGCTCCATCCACCCATCTACTATTATGAAAATAACAATAGTGGATGACTTCATTGAGGAATTGTCGAGTGCTGTGCTGAGTGCTTGAATGACTTTGTTCCTTTAATCTACATCAGAGTCCTATAAAGTATGCTATTATATCCCCATTTCACAGATGAAGAAAAACATTAGAAAACTAATAAATTTTTTCAGTCTAATACAGCTGTTAAGTGGTGGAGTTTTCTAATAAATATTTGAGGATAATGTTAATAGCCCAAGCATGTGTTCAAAAATTGTCCATTCCACAAAAATTGCCAGTAGCCTCAAATTCTGTATTAGATTTGCTCTCTTTTTCAGTGTTTTATGCTCACACCATCATTATTTAGCTTCCTTTTATTGCTCCCTAAGTCCTTAAGCTCATGCAAACTTCCCCTCACAATTAACTACTGTTCTGAAACTTTATTGCACTAGGAAAAGAAATGGTGTGTGCTGGTGTTGGTTTACACCACACCTCTAAAAGGGTGTGTTTGTGTGTGGGGGTTATTAATGGAAGTGGTGGGTGCTTCAAATATTTTGAAACTGTTAAATATATGTACTTATTGGGATGATGTCCGAGACTGTGGCTTGCTGGTCACCAGTTGTAGGTGTAAGGGATCTAATGTTTTGCCCTGGAATACTGAAGGTAGGTGCAGATTCAGTGCAATTAGGGAGGGTCTTCTAACCATCTAGACCAATAGTTCTTAACTGGAGGTAGTTTTTTTATTTGACGTTTTTATTAGCACATTACAGTTATATATAATATTGAGATTAATTTTAATATAATCACACATGCATGGAGTGTAGCTCACTTCATTTCTGTCCCCAGTACTTCCTCTTCTGTTTCCTCCTTCCTCCCCCTGTTCTCCTTCCTCTACTCTACTTGTCTTTCTTCTATTTATTTATTTATTGTTTTTTAAATTGGTGCTTTGTAGATAAACATAAAGGTGAAATTCACTGTGATATATTCACATATGTACCTAGCATAACGTGGTCAATTTCATTCCATGGTTCCTCCCTTTCCCCGCTCCTCCTCTGTCCACACCCCCATCCCCTTCCTCTACTCCACTGATCTCTTTTCTTTGTTCATGAGATCTACCCCTCCTTTTCTTCTATCATTTTGCCTGAGTTTCTGCATATGAGAGAAAACATTCAACCTTTGGCTTTCTGAGTCTGGCTTATCTAATTAGCATGAGGTTCTCCTCGAGGTAGCTCTGCCTCTCCACATTTTGATTGCCACAACTAGGAGGTGGTGATGTCCATGTAGAGAGGGGAGACTAGGGATGCTGCTGAATATCTGCCAATATATAGGACATATCCAACAGCAAAGAATTATGCAACCCAAAGGGCAATAGGGCTGAGACTGAGAAACCCTGGTCTAGACAGACCAAGGACCTTTCTATCCCATTGCTACTTGGTTAGGGGCAAGGTAAGTCATCCTGATGCAGTGGGGGATATGGGAGTGACCTGGAATGTTCACCATTTCTTGCCCTTTTGGGGGCTTCACCAAATCCTGGAATCTGACCAGGTCCTTCTATCGGAGGAGACATGGGTTTCTTGTAAGATCGAGGGCTCCTACCGGAGAGAGTTGGGGTCAGCTGAAATGCACTCCTTGAATAGAGAGGAGTGGTCTTCAGTCCCTAGTGTGGCTAGCTGTGGATGAGGCATGACTGTCTCTGAGGAGTCCTCCCTCTCCTCCTTATACCCTCAGTTTATTTCTATTGTCTTGGCTCCTGTTCCAAGGTCCCAGCCAGAGCATCTCTAGTGCTCTATTGCCAACCCATGGCACCATCCTCACATCTCTGTAGGGTAGGATTTGGTGCCACTTTCTTCTCATTCTTCCTCTCACCTGGCTACTACTCTGAGCTGGCTCTGCCATATACATTAGTCCTGTCATATGCTTAAGGTTTGCCTTTCTGATTCCCAGGAGCTTAGGTCAGAACTTTAAAAGGAATAGGCTCTTAAAGCTTCTTTCCATTTAGTCCTTTTGCCATAGAAGTCAACTTTCTGTGGGGCCATGAGGATGCCTCTGAATGCTGTGAACAGAGTCAGGACATCCAACAAACAGAGAAAGAGGCCACAAATATGAATATGTCAAGATCTTATTTTGCTACATCAGAGATTTGACTGGTTCCCTCCCCTTATCCTTTGGAGTTAAGAAGGAGGCCATGGTGTTAGAGGATAGTTTTATAGGTTCAGCCAGATGTGAGGGACATCTGGTGACTGGATGTTTGTTTTTTAAGCATTTCTAACTGTTATGCTCACAGGATGGGGAAGGGGAGTTGAAAGGTGGCTGTTCTGGCTACTCTGTGCTGGCATTTGCTTTGAGGGTGAGGATTGGGGTCAGAGTAAGGGGGGTGGTTTGAGCCTGGCAGAAAGCAACATTTTCCTCTCCATGCCTGCATATCTTTAGCTGAACCTGAGCCTCTACTGTCCTCTAATGTAATAATCATAATGAGTCTAGCTGCAATTTACAGAGTGCCTGTTATGAGACAGGCACTGTATCAGGCTCTGTGCTTATGTTATCTTGTTCACATTCGATTCTCATATGCTAGAATCTATAATGCTCTGAAGAGATGCTTCCTAATGCTTCTTGAATGGATTTTATTCCTTTTCTTTATTATTGGAACAGATATCATGCTTTAGACTTACATACATTGTCGATACATTGTATAGTTTTCCTCTGGCATAGTATTTGTTTGTTTGCTTGTTTTCCATGTGTTGTTAATGGACTACCTTAAGTTGTCCACTTCCACAAGTCCAATTTTGTTGGAGATGTTGCTAGATTAATGGGATTATTTGTGACTGTGAAAGCTTTTTTGGAAAATGAACTTTCCCACTTTGAAGTCACACTGTGGGGCTTTGTTTCCCCAGTTCCAGGCTCCTACCAGGTGAACCCACTGATATCATTGAAGAAACAGGTTTTTCTGGAGGAAGATGCTCTTGAACTTGAGCCTTTGTCCCTTTGAGGGCAACCTAGTGAAATAGAAAATTGTACTCAGGGCTCAAAACTCGTACTTCAGAGAAGGAAAGTCTGGATGAGAATATAGTGGATGTGCAGATTTGAAGGCTGATTGAACAAAAATATTATGAACAGAATTCTGTCCCTTCCAAAAAACACTGTGTCCAGCACCCAGGGTCCACTTGTTGTGAATAGGCTTTAGGTAGCTTTCAGCTCTTGTCCCAGTGACCCACTAACTTAGGTTCCTAACTTAGGGAGATCCTCTAAAGTCTGCTAGAAGTTGTCAGTGGCAGCAGGGAGCAGGTTCTGAGGTTACTAGGAATGAAGCAAAGCTGGAAGACATAGGTTGAGAGGAAAAAATCCTCTGTCATTCAAAGAGAAGAATAGTGGATTGAATGAAAATAAATGAGGGGGTAAATAAAAGCTTTAGGAGGTAGAGAAGAGATCTTGACTTGTAGCCCCAGATGAGCAACCATTGGTCTAGAAGACTCTGAGAAATGTAGATCCAGAATAAAGTGCCCTCATCAATGATCCAGAGCATTATGGCCTTGCAGGCACCCAACCCCTTCCCTAGCCATTTTGTGAAGTCGTCTGGAATTGTTAGCACAGAACTGGATAGGATAGGGGGTCAAGGGTTGGCAACTGTCAACCCAAATGAGCAAGCCTGTGCCCCTGTAGGGCTGTCCTATACTATCTGCTCCAAGAGGATCTGTCTCATTATTTGAACACTTAAGAATTATCACAGCTTAGAAGATTTACAGGGGGTTTGACCACTGCTTTGCAGAAGGTGGGCTTACTCTGCTTAGATGGGCATCAGCAGGCTGTGGTGTCTTGTTTTCTTAAACTGGTGGGAGGGATTTGATTGGTCAGCAGGGTGCTCACCTTCAGGGAGTAAGCAGGCCAGGAATAAGACATACAGTGGAAGACAGAATGTATTCTGAAAGTTTTTCTGCACAATGATGGGTGCTCTGTTTTGGGGAAAGGAAGCTTATCTTTAAACAAACAAGCAAACAACAACAACAAAACTCTAACATAAAGCGTTTTTAAAAAGTTTATAAAGCAACTCTGGAAATCAAAGAGACCCTAAATACCTCCCATTTTCCTTCCCCTGGTTTTCAGTGACACCTATGTTCAGTGATGAGTAGCCAGAGATATTAAGGATTGGCTGTAAACTAGGGCCTCTCCCTTTTTGTCAAGGGGAAAATGTTTTAAAAATTTGGAAATCTCAGAAATTAAAAAAACATATTTTGTGAATGGATCCTTAAAATAAACAAAGAAAGCAGAACAATTGCCTTCTATGATATCAACTTTCAAGTCCAGTTTAAATATTACTACCACTTGGGATCAACCAAATACTTTCAACTCTATAAAGTTTCCATTATTTCATTTAGTCAGAGAAATCTGCCAGCTAATATTTTACTAAGCCTGAAAAAAGTTTAACTAGCCCTTTCCATATCTATCAAGTTCAAAGAGATGGTATAGTTCATGTATCAAGACACCATAAAGTTTAGCCCTAGAAACACGGATTATATTTCCAATATTTATTAAAAATTTTTTTCTTTGTCTATTGGCTGGCTTGTTTTAGTCTGTGTGCATATGTTTTTATCGCATGGTGGGCTGAATTTGTACACTATGTCTAGATGACACTAGCATCTTTCTGTTCCTGAAGATCACTTAAGATGAAAGGCATTAAAGGTAGACTCGAGGTATCTAAGCATCTGTTTAATACAGGCCCCCTCTATAACGCTCATTTCTGGTGCTTGGCATCAAAGGAAAAAAAAGAAAAGTCGGCACTATTCTCTTAAAAATACGTCAAGGGCCCCCAACTCTTTAACAACACAGGAAATGTCAAATATTATATGGATATAAATAACTCAGTAAAACAGGGTTACAAGAACATCTGGCTTTGCACAGTTCCGCGCACTGGGCTGGCGCAGAGATATTTCAGTAATACTATCCAGTCTTTGGGTTGTGTGAGACTATGGGGCACAGAAGGGAATTTGAGTGTCGAGTGAAAAATGTGCTTGTAAAAAGGTCTGAGTTGTTATCTGTCTAATCCGTCCTAATCTGTTCAGTCATTTGCTCTGGGGGCTCTTAAGAGTGGAATACTGACCCCCTCTGGAAGCCAGTCTCTTAGACAGATACTGCTGGGGCCCCAGGGTTAGGGACAGAGGGCAGAAGGTTAACGACCCTGGAGGAGCAAGCTGCTCCAATGATAACTGGAGAGATCATTTTTAAAAGGGACATCTCAATTTTGCAAGGAGCTTGCAGCTTTACTTTGGTTCTAGCATCATGGTGGCACTTGTCAGGGAAAATGGTGATGCGCCTCTTCTTTGTCCTCGCCGGTCTTGCCTCTCGCTTGCTCACCTCCATTCCTGGTTCCCCTCTTCTCTTTATTGCATTGCATTTCTTCACTGCAGTTTTTCACTTTATTTTTAAGATTTGATTCCTTTGGGTTTTGGGCAAGCCACCGTTTGGGGAAGGAAATTTGTGCAATTGACACTATTTGGTGTTCATTTCACTTACACACACTTTAAAAAGAAAGTAAAACCTCCCAAACAAAAATACACACACACACACACACAAATTCACACGAGGCAACTGAGGTTTATGGTTTTCCTCTATGTAAATTACAATGTTCAGCATTATTAAGAATAATAAACAGCAACATCATCCATGTTGAAGCAAGGCAGAGCAAAATATAAACGAGAGCTATATCTTAGATCCCTTTGAGCTTATTCCCAAATAACTCCACTTATTTACTCTGTGAATGCTCGTAACTCTTGATTGCCAAGCACTGTGGTGGGTAAAAACTCCACTTGCCCTTAAGGAGCCTACAGTCTGCTGGAGGAGGCAGCTCATGGAAATAGTTACAATATAATTCTTTGCAAGGGGGTACAATATGGTACCATAGAATACAATAGGATAGGATTCATTCTAAAATAAAGTGAACAATTGAAAGAAAATAGACACCAGATAAAAATAATTTGCTTTAATATCTCCTGCCAACCTTTGGAATATCTAGTTACACTTAAATTTTTCTATCCCTTCAACAGTCTTTCTGGAAGTCATTTGATCCTTGGTTTAAAACCAAGTCGGGGTAGGGAGCAGGGAATCAAGAGCCAAGTTGACAGTGCTTCCCAGCTCTGTAGCAGGAAGTGGGGATGAAACTCATTTCTTTGAGAAGCAGGTGGGAAAACTGTGTGTGCTGAAATAAATCCCTTTATTTGGTGTGTGATTGGCAAGTTTGTGTGATAGTCTGTCTCACACAAACTTTTTGCAGATTTGGAGACCCCACAGTGCTTCTCTTGATGCATATCTTTTTCTTCAATGACCATGTTCTATTCATTAGTTAATTGGTTAATTTAACCATTATGTATCTACATTCTGAGATAAGCCCTCTCTTTCTCTGAGATTGGCACATACTAAGCATGCATTCTGTTCTGCTCCTGAGCTACACCACCAGCACAAACTACTATGTATCTATCAAGGTCTGTACTAGACATCCATTCCTCACTTTCAAGGAAATCAGTTAGGTGGGGAAAGCTGAACAAGCAATTTAAACACAGCATGATAAGTGTTTGGAGATCTATGCTAGAGGTCAGAGGAAGATAAATATTTGGTGATGATGATGATGATGATGATGATGATAACAACAACAACAACAATAATAAACCCAAGTAGATGACTTGGAAGTCAGAGATGGATATGAGTGATTCTCACACTGGATATTCAGATGTTCAATGGCATTTTTATCCAAACTTACCCCAATTGGCTATATGCCTTGTATACATTAATGGTATCATTTCCTCCATTCCCTTTTGCTCTGTGCTCTGTAGGCTTAAAGGGAGTCACCAATTAGTCTGAATTAAGGACTCTCTGCCCAGACCATGTGATTAGTTCCCCAGGCCCTTGAGAAAATTTCTTAAGTTTGTGTCTTGGCTTGATCCCAGCCCTGCAAAACAGCCCAGCCCCAGACAAACACCCTGTTGAGCATCACCTGCCAACCTGATCTTCTGCTGGTTTTTAAAAACTCACTCTTGTGTCTTTCTCTTCCCATTCCTTTCCAGGGATTTGACGGAACAAACTGCACCCGGACACTATTGAGATTGTGACACAGGCCAGTACACTTCAGGAAATTCAAACTGACAGAATCTCCTGCCTTCTGCTATTGCAAAAGTGGCTTAGTGGAGCAAGACGCCAGCTCAGAGCCATGGGCTGCAGCTCGAGGTTCCTGACCCTCTCTGCAGAGATGGGAGTGCCTGGAGGGCTGAGGGCTTTGGCAGGGCTGAGGTAAACACTCAGGTTGAGGCATTTTTCATCTGTTTAACCAGATCTCATTATATTGTCAAACAAGACTGCCATGCTCATAAGAAACAGCCATGGTATTCCTGTTGAGAGTTGGGGTGAGAGGTAAGAATGTGTGTGTGTGTTTTTTTCCATTGAGGTAAATTTCCTTAATACTGGGATGCTAGGCATTGAGACACAAGTGGGAGGCAGGGGTGGTAAGCTCATGGAGGCTTTGAAGAAAGCTAATTGCTCTTTCTATAATGCTGCCCTGTGTGTGATGGGGAGAAAAGAGGGATTTAAAATAATATCACCCACATCCTGTGCAGAAGACTCCTCTAGGTGGCTACAGAACTTATTCCTAATTCTATACTCTTTGTTACTCTTTCACTTTCTTTCTCTTGACTGCAAAAATGTCATTTTATTGCTTTTGATCCTCCCCCTTTCCTTCTCTCTTTCAAGTACTGGGGACTGAACCCGGGGATGCTCTATCACTCTGCCACATTCCCAGCACTTTTTATTTTGAGACAGGGTCTCCCTGAGTTGCCAAGGCTGAACTCCAGCTTGCCATCCTCCTGACTCAGCCTCTGGAGCAGCTGAGTGTGTGCCACCATGCCCAGCTATTGTTTTCAAAATAACTATTCCTATCTTTTCTAGGTTGAGTTGAGTTTGGCATTAGTTGCTTTGTTCTGAGGAAACTCAAAATCTAGGTAAATTACCAGGCCACCCAGGCATAATTGAAATTGTATAGGAATGGTGGTGAGCTATGTAAAAATCCTTGTAGATAGTCCCATAAAAGGGTCTAACTGAAAAAGAACATACACATTTTACTAAATCCAAAGCAACTGTCTGGTCAATGAATTTTTTTTTTAAAACCTATTTACTTCTATCTTAATCTTATTTTACATTTGAGTCCATTTCTCACATCTTATTTTAATTCTAAAACTTTATGGTGTAGCTGTAATTTTTAAAAAGTTATTTGTTTTAAAAAAAATATTTATTGAGTTGCTGCCTTGTAAGGGTGTCTATGCCATGCTCACTTTCCACATTTGCAATGACAAATTTTCATCTCCTCTGCTCCCCTAGAGGCTTCATCACCCCTACTTCAATCCTGTCTGAGGGATGTGCTTGTGTCCTATTGGACTGAGAAAATGAAAGCCACCACATAGAAGTACCTTTAACTTCTTGCCGTCAAATTGGCCAATCTATCTTATATCTGTCTCCATATTATCCTTCTTCTTTCTTATGACCACGGAGCAAGGGCTCCTAGATAGCAATTTTATGGAGCAAAGAACATGCAGAATAACTGGGAAACTGTCTTATATTTGGCCAAAGCCAGTGGCAAAATTTGAACTTAAGTCTCCTGATGTTTTTTATCCTAATGTCATTTTCACTGCATCATAGTGCCTTTCAATTTTTATCTAGGTAAGCAATATTTTATTTAGAATGTTAATGGCAGACATTCCTGTCCAGAATCTGTGTTCCCTGTACCCATTTTCAACAGCCTGGAACCTCTATGAAGTAATCTACCTGGTCCTAGGGAAGCTGACTGCCCTGTCAGCTCTTACTGTGGGGGATTGACCTAGTGGTATCAGCCAGTTACAGTGATTGGTTCAGAAGTGGGCCTGTGTCCTAAGCTGGCCCAATCAGAGTAGGCATAGGTTCTTTGCTCCAATCAGAGTGGGCCTGTATTCTTTTCTCCTTCTGTAAGGTGTGGTATAAGGATGGGAAGTCTGGAAGTACTGAAGCCATTTTGCCATTATGAGGGAAGTCAATCTGAATTTGCAAACACAGAAATTGACTGAATATAAAAGAGTAAAAAAAATTTTCAGGAATAAAGGAAATTTTTAGGATGACTATTAAATCTTAACAGCCTTCTTGGTGTTAAATATAGTTCTATTATTGTTTAAGCTACTTTGAATTTTTTCTGTACCCTGTAACAAAGAATAATTGACATAACTTTTTTTCTGATTGAAAAATTCAAATATTTTCTTATAATTAACAGAAAATTTTGAAATATCTAAAGAAGAAAATGAAAATCATTCATGATTCTACTACCTAGAATAACTACTATTAATACTTTTGAGATCCATATTCAGTTTTTCTTGAGGAAGAGGTAAAAATTAAGATTTTTAATCAAAGCTTTATTTTTACTATTTTATTATATTAAATTTTATATGTCCTTTGAAACAATTGAGAAATCCTTTATAAATGACATCATGTTTTAACCATTTGAATATATTTATTTTCAAAGCTGCTATGATTCAGCTTAATGTTCAATTTTATGTTTTAATTTATCGTAGTTTCATTTTTTATCTCTTGTGCCATATAAAATAGTTTTAAAGTTTAGTTATCAAACATTTATTGAGTATTTGTAAGTCATAAGGTATAGGGATGATGGGTCCTGGCCCTTTTAGGGCTTATGATCTGGAAAGGCAGACATTTAGAAATCCATAAATGTGAATGCAGTATTACAAAATAATGCTTATTTCAAAGGACAGACAATGTGCATAAGGTTAGGACAGTGTAGAGTTGCATCTCTGCCTGTGGGCAGATGGGATGGAGGGGTGTAAGGTGAAGAAGTGATGCTTGAGTGGACAGGCAGAGAGGAAGCATTAGCTGGGATGAGGGAGGGGCATAGGATAGGGAGATGCTTCTCTGCAGAGAGCAAGGAATGGGGAAGGCTGTGATCAAGAGGTAGCTCCACACATCTGAGGACTGGCAAGCTCACTGTGGTGTTGAAAAGTAGAGAGGCAGGAGAGATGGTGGTGGGGCTGGAGGGAACAGAACTAGAACAGGAGAGACTTTAGAGACCACACTAAGAACTTTGGGAACTTGAGAAAAATGAGAAGGCATCCAAGAACTTTGGTCTGGGGGTGGGTGGGCAGAAGTCATAGGTCTGGTTTGCCAGGTGCACTTGAGACGAGGCTGGTGGGAGGACAGAGGGTCTGCCACAGCCTGGCTTTGGTTAGTGATAGTGGAGGTGAGGGAGTGGAGAAGAAGGAGATGTTGAAGACACACTGTGAACACGACTCAGCATTGGACAGGCTAAGGAGAGAAAATGAGAAAGAGAGAGAGAGAGAGAGAGAGAGAGAGAGAGAGAGAGGGAGGGAGAGAGAAAGGGAGGGAGGGAGAGAGAAAGGGAGGGAGAGGGAGAGAGAGAGGGAGAGGGAGAGAGAGAGAAAGGGAGGGAGAAAGAAAGGGAGGGAGAGGGAGAGAGAGAGGGAGAGAGAAAGAAAGGGAGGGAGGGAGAGAGAAAGGGAGGGAGAGAGAGAGAGAGGGAGAGGGAGAGAGAAAGGGGGGGGGAGAGAGAGAGGTGTCAAGAGGCACCTTTTGGTCTGACTCTGTGTCTATGAATGCATAGTGGCACATTGAGGGTGGGGATCAGGAGTACAGGGTGGGGCTGGGGAGCCCCAGGTGCCAGGAGGATGTTATAAGGACATGGACTATGTGGCTTGTAGCTCCCAGAAAAGGTCGAAACACATTTGGAAATCATGAAAGACCAGATGAGAGTGCAGTATAGCATGAGGAAGATCATCCTTCAAGAAGAAGACTTAATGTGAGTTTCCCATTCACAAGAGACCTAAGCCCTGGTCTTCAAGAGAATCAACCTTCAAAAGCAGGGTAGGGAGGACTCTCCTAATACTGTAGAGGAGGAGCAGAGAAGTAAGAGAAAAAGCCAAACAGTGCTGTCACAGTATCCAAATAGAGTGTGTCGAGAAAAGAAAGGTCATAATAAATATTATGCTCCATTGGGGCCAACTTAGGTAAAGAGGAAAAATGTCTGTTGGCTTTTGTGGCATGTGTGAACTTTCAGTCTAGCCAGAATGATTTCATAAACATGATGGGGCAGAAGCTTAATGGGGGGTTGGAAGAAAAGAGGATGAAGTCTTTCATGAAAAGCTTCTATGAATTTTACTGAGAGAGGGAGCAGGGAGTTAGGGCTAACAGTGGCTCTCAACTTTGTATACAAGAATTATGTGAAGTGCCTTGAAACCATTCCCATGCCAAGGCCATTCTCCAGACCAATGAGATCAGAGTCTCTCAGACTTGGATTCAAGCACTGAGTTATTTTATAAAGCTCCCAGGAGATTCTGACATGTAACCAAGACTGAAAATCACCAAGTTAGGAGGAGATGTGGGGCTGAAAGTATATACAAATATAGTTGTGCCTTTGCATCTTGGGGTGGGGGTGGATGGTCCTTATGGATACCAAGACCTGCAGATGCTAAAGTCCCTTATATAAAATGACCCAGTGTTTTATTATAAGCTACAAACATTCTGCTGCATACTTTAAGTCATCTCTGGATTACTTATAATGCCTAATGCAATGTAAATGTTGTATAAGTAGGTGTTATATTATACTTCTTAGAGAATAATGACAAGGAACAAAGGTCTGTACATTTTCAGTACAAATGAGATTTTTTTAAATAATATTTTCATTCTGTGGTTGATTGAATCTGCAGATGTGGAAGTCAAGGATGCTTGGGGCTGATGTATATTTTAAGGACTGGAGAGGTTTGAACAAGCTGAATTGATGTCAGGAGGGATCTAGATGAAAGGGTAGAGAAGGAATGGTAGATTTTGTGAAGTTCTGAGAAGACAGAATTCAAAACTTCAGTGGAGAGAGAGACTTCAGAGAGGTGTGGTTTGAAAGGAAACCCTTTGCCTTTAATTGCGTATTAAGGAACCTTGACATTTTTTTGAAAACATTATTTAAACCTACATTTCTTAATTACCAAAATGAAGAATCAAGTTGCTACTTGAAGCATTTTCTGTAGAAATGCACTTAAACCATTTTATTTTCCCTATGAGATTTTAATCCAGCTGATGGTTGTAAAATACTTATTTTTTACATGCTGGATGATCTGTTTTAAAACCACTCTGACATTTGCAGTTAACTTTGGAACCATGGTTTAAAAGGTTATTCAGGTGTAATGCTGCATGGAACTCTTCTCAGTACTGCCTGCCAGAATGATGTCACCGTGCCAACCCCATCCATGAGT